CAAAGCTGAGGCAGAGAAGGATGGAGTGAAGGTCCCCACTACACTGGCAGAGTACTGCATCAAAACTAAAGTGCCTTCCAATGACAACAGTTCAGATTTGCTTTACGACGACTTGTACGATGACGACATTGACGATGAAGATGAGGAGGAGGAGGATGCCGACTGTTACGATGATGATGATTCTGGCAACGAGGAGTCGTGACCTGCTCCCTCTATGCCCCTGTACTGCCCTGCCGACTCAGGCCAGAAGGGAGCAGCGGTAACCTAGCAGCAGTCCAGCAAAAAAGTGGGGGGGGGTGTCAAAAAAAAAAAAAAAAAAAAAAAGGAAAAAAAACCCAACACAAAACTTTGTCTCCTGCTGTCTCCTGTTGTATGGATCTGTTCGCTCCTTTTTTATGGACCTCTTAGAGACCCTCCACAGAATGTCTGAATTCTTGCATTCTTAACCCTTTCATCACTGTATTATGATTTCTTTTTAAAAAAGAAACTCCCCTTTTCACTTCTCTACAAAACACTCACAGCAAAACAGGTTTGCTCGTGTTTAGATTCTTGAATTAAATACAGTCTTGCATTGAGATGTTTAATGTATTTTAAGCTGGAACAAACCCATTGGAAGCCGGGTTTTTGGGAGCTCAAGTGCTACATTTACTGGGAAGAAAAAAAAAATCCCCACGAAGCAAATTGCCAAGGTTTAGCTGCTCCATTTACAATAATAGCGTGTGTACATTCGTTTAGCCTTGTGGTGGTGGCTTTTCCTTTATAAGGTGTGGGGCGAGAGTGTAAAGCTACTGTGTGTTGAGCTTGATGGGATGTCACTGAAAGGTACAGTATTCCTTTTCAGCCTGCTAAGTTAGGAAATAGCTGACCCCTGGAGCCCTAGAGGGCACTATCAGCTTTGTCTGTGGAAAAGGCTTGTGATATGAACCCTAAAATAAACACTTAACACTTCACGTTTTACAACCGAGCCCTGGGTTGCTATTTTTTTTTTCCAGATTAGGATAGGGTTGGAAAAGTTCAATTTTAGCTGTTCTGCTGAGATCTGCTGCCAGATGCCCCTCTCCAGAGGGAGGAGAGCAGATGTGCATCCTGCTGCCCAGCAGGCCACCGTTCATCCTGGGCTTTTTTATGGCAGTGGGAGAGACCAGGAGCCTCCTGCCCCATGCTGGCTGGCAGCCTTTGCATCCTGCAGCCCCAGCCCTGTGCAGCTGGAGCTGCCTTCTGTAGCTTGTGTGGCTCACCTGTGGGTAGGTGCAGCTCTCTGCAGGGCAGAGTTCGGAGTGGTGTCGGCGTTGTCCCTGTGCTTCGGGGCACAGGCAGGCGGTGATGGGCTGTCCCCTGCCCGGCGCCCTGGGGCACAGGGGTGTGTGCAGCCCACAGCAGAGCAGGCCAGCAGCAGGTTTTGACAACGTGCTTCAGCTGTGCCCCGAGCTCAGCCTCCCGCATGTTTTTGGGAGCCCCTGGCAGAGCTTAGGGCGCTCTGTCGTGGGCAGCGGGATCCTGCATGTTCCTGTCTCAGAACCCTGTTCCTCAGGCCCTCCACACCGTCCCCCCGGCGCAGCGTGCTCGTGTTTGGCTGTGGTGCGGTGCCCCGAGTTCCCCTTCCATGTGATCCCTGGATCGGCAGCCGGGCCTGGCAGCCCCGGGAGCAGATCGGAGGTGCTGGCCCCGCAGGGGCGAGACCCTCAGTGCGCACGGGTACAGAGGCATCGCCCTGAKCAGAGCCTGCCCTCCCCTCCGTGTGTCTCAGGGTTCTCCATGGTACGTCACCAGCTGCGGGCCCTCGGGGCTGTTCGGTGGGAACACGGCTTTGTTCTGGATCTGCTCCGTGGCTGCGTCCGGGGCGAGGCTGAGCGAAAGCCCGGAGGGGGAGGAGAGCAATGCCCRGGGGGCTCCGCAGCGAGTGAACGAGGCAGATCTGTTAACAAAACATGGCTTGGCTGGGGTTTGCAGGGACRGGCCCTGCCCCTCGGCCACCTGCCCTCCTGCTCGCACATTACCTGGGAAGGCAGCTGCACCTTCCTGGGGTGCCAGCCTTCTTCCAGCAAGGACTGACTCAGCCCCAGGTGCTTTTTGGAGCCGGCAGCGGGGCTCCCCTGCTCTAGTGACAGTGTGGGGCACCCCGGCCCTTCGAGGGCAGTGCCAGGGCAGGCAAACGCCGCTGGTGCTCCCGGCTGCAGGATTGGACTCGGGGCCGCGCCAGGGCAGGGGCACCAACCTCCAGCTTTCAGGCGGCTGTGGTGTGGTGAAGGAGCAGAGTGTGGCAGCAGAGCGCTGGCTTTGCTGATGACTTGGTTGGAAATGAGGATACTGCATCTTTCAGGATTTCCCTTGTACTTTTGACCGTCTTCACTGTATACTCTCAGTGACTTGTATTTCCAAGCTTGGTGTTGTAAGATGCATTATTATGACTCTTCTGTTACCCTTTTTTAATGACAAAAAAGCAACCTCTTTTGAGAGCTCCAACATTAACCAGACTAATTCTCTTCCCCACTGTCCTGTGCAGTGTCATTGCTTGTTGACTTGCTGGTTTCCTTTTTATGAAATACAACTGAAGTATGAGGGGATTTTTTTGAAACTATTTAAGAGATTGCAGAAAAATGTTTACCTGCTCTGTGTATTCTGTTTTTTCTTAACCCTTTTTCTCCTGTTTCAGCCAATATTAGCGTTTACATTTGCAATTACATGTCCCTTTAAATGCAGTTTTCAACCATTCTGAAACCAGCAGGGTACACTAGATTTCTTAGTAGTTTTCTTAGCTGAACTCCCAGATCTTTTCCTTTTTTTGTTCAGTATAATTTACCAGAAAGAATTAACTGATGCATTTTTTGTGTTGTCTTCTCCTTCAGTAGTTATATTTTGTCTTTTCTGCACATCTGTCTACTAATAAAAATGTGAAATGAAAATATCTTCGTGCTGTTACTTCCCTGTTTGAGCTGTTGCATTGCATGGGTTATTCAAAGCTTTCAAACAGCTGTTCAGCAGTTCATTGCTGCTCTGGTGTCAATAGACATATTTTTACATAAATAAGTTTATTGCAAAATAAAGCTGCTATTTGTCAGCTGCCTGTACCTAAGACTTAAAAACAAACTGATTTAGAGAAGGACTTTGGCAAAAGGCCAGAGCTTTGCTGTTACATTTAGTCTTCCTAAGTCAGGAAGGARGAGAGCAGTGAGAAGGTGGTTCATGGATTCATGTGACTGGAGCAGGGACACTGGAGCRCAGGGCTCCTGACAGGGTCGGACACGGTGGAGGAGGAGTTTGACCACTGGGTCAGGCAGCAGCTTTGGCAGAGAAATTGAGGTCACAGCTGCGGCTCTCCGGGGTGCCAGCCCCGCCTGTCCCACGCTGTTCCCCGCAGGCTCAGGAGGGGAGCAGGGTGTTTGCAATGCCCCGGCTGCTGCAGCTGAGCTAAAATTAGCAGGACAAGTGTCAGGGAGTTGTACTGGCTGCACTTGGCACCGATGGAAGCACAGCAACTGCTGAGTCAAACGTGGCTGGGCCTCAAGTGTTTCTGCTGCACAGCGGAGCTGGAGCAAGGGCGATGGCATTTCAGAACTGCCTTCCCAAAGGATTCTCCATACTGGGGAATGGGGAAGGGTGGTGCTGTCTGGGATGCGACCTGCTTGTATCTGCTTCCTGACCCCACAGCCCCAGAACTGCCGGTAGCTGCTTCCTCCAGCAGCAGTGTGGGAGCAAAGGCAGGGCAAAGGCTCCAGCCCACCCTGCACTGGGTAAGCCCAGGGGCTGCAAAGGGAGGTTTTCCCCCTCTTTTCCTTGATGGTCAAGTGCAGCTGGGCAACCTTGGCTCTGCCCTCAGTGAAATGGGGCTTAGAGAGGAAGTTGCTGCAGCCAAGTCCTGCTGAGGTAACACTGTAGGGAGAGGCAGAAACAATTTGCTGAGTCTCACAGAGGAGTCTGCCTGTGGCTGAAGGCAACACTGCCTGCRGCAGGACCCCAGAGCAGCTGGGAAGGTGCTGCAGTTGCCTTGGTGCTAGGGAAGAACAGGATGCTGCAGGACAACACAGTCCATGMACTGCCCTTCCACGCTCACACCCCGGCTGAAGTGGAAGGTGTGGTTTGGGACACTAGAGCAGTGCTGGCAGGAGTCCTTGCAGAACCTGAGGTTCAGGGGCTGCTGGGGGTGGCACCAACTCTCACCTCTTGACCCAGCTCCAGCTGCTTCTGGACCGTGACACACACGCAAGAACGGAGCAACCCCTGTGGGCAGCACTGTGTCTATAAACAAGACCTCAAGTGTGTGAAGACAGCTCTGGTGAAGTTTGTTTTGAAGCGAGTGAGGTKCTGCTGCTGTGAAGGCTCAGCTGCTGGAGCAGCCTTGTACAAGCTGACAGATCCCAGCCTGCAGAAATGCTGCCCTCCTTGACATTCAGGCCCAAAGCCCGTGGCAGTGGGGCAGCAGCTGCCCAGGGCTTGGAGCAGCTGTTGGAGTTCAAGCAGCATCAAAACCTGAGCCAGGGCAGAGGAGTGCCAGTGGAGTTCCTGCACTGCTCACAGGCTGGGGGAGAGCTCAGTGACAACTGGGTCTCACAGGGCCCAAGAGCTGGTAACAGAGAAAGAAAAATTATACTCGGGGTAGAAAAATACTTTTCTTGTGGATACTGAAGGAAAAAGAGCCCCTTGCCTGTTGCATGATTCACGTTTACCCACACAGGTGAACTCACCAYTGTCAGACCCACCTGCTGCTCTGCCCTCCCAGCTCTCGCAGGAGCAGTAGAAAGGGACAGGCTGTAAAACTGCTCCTGAAACTTTTGAAAATGCAGACAAACACCAGTGATATGCTCAGATCTTTATTAGGTGGAGGAAGGGCTATAAAGAAATGGAACTCCTAGAACATTCACTGCACTGGCGCAGGACAAGAAGGACCAGGAGTTGCCTCCAAGGCCTTTGTTTTAAAAAAAGTGGGGAGGGACAGATGAAGTTTCCATCCAGTAGCTCTGGTTTTCCTGGGAAGGTGGCTCAGGGCAAAAAGAGGTACAAGACACAGCTTATACTTTTATTTAAGAAACCGCTACATAGTTTTTGCCTCTAATGATGCAAAGGAGGTTCCAGGACACACTGAGCCATCCAAAGTCTCTTGCTAGAGAAAAACAACAYGAACAACAAAAAAATCCCCCACAAACAAAAAATAAAACCATATCCTTTCTTTTTTAATTATTGTGAAATAATTGAAAAATTAGAAGTTGAGACTGCAGCTCAAGGCCACAGTGATGAAACTGCCCACAAGAGCATGTCTTCCACAGCAAGAGGGAGGGAGGAAATGAAAGAAAGGGGAAGGCCCACAAAACATTTTTTTTTCTTTCTTTTATTTTCCCCCTCTAAGATAACAGCCATATTGGGGGTCGGGGGGGGGTGAAATCAAACCAACGGGACACTTCTTGATTTGGGTTTTTTGAAGGGCAGGTCTCCTTACTTGTCTGAATTTAGAACTGCATTAAATAAATGGGCTCCAGCTCCAAAAAAAAAAAGGGCGCAGTTTGTTTTTGACAGGAATTACAAAACCCATAGAGCTTAAAATAAAAAACAAAGAAGGATGCCCTGGTGCAGATGGAAAATGAATAATTAGTTTTCCTACAAAGAAAATAAAACAGGCTGCAAGATGCAGAAAACCACATTTAGGCTCTATTACATTTACAAATACATACATAAATATATTACATATAACAGCAACTCAAAGAGGAAGCAGGCGAGTCACATAGAGGATGGCTGGCTGGCTGCAGTTCTCCCCGCACAGACGTTTGGCTGAGCAGTTACTTTTCCTAATAATTCCAGGAATGGGCATCGGCTTTTATTTTCTTTTTTCTCATTTAATTTGTTTTCTTTTTCTTTCTTCCTCCTCTTCTTTCATTCTCTCCCCCCTCCCCGGTTTCGGATTTAGTTTGTCCAGTATGGAGAAGTGCCATAGGCGGTTTTGGTAGCCTGAGACTTTTGCTGCATGGTGCTGGGTTGGTTGCGTTGGCCAGATCCACCCTAGAAACGGGAAACAAAGGAAACAGGGCCATCAGCTGCCACAGCATTCCCAGGAAGACAAGCCCACCCCAAACGATGGCAGGGACAGCCCTGACACCCAGCAGCACAGCRATGCTTCCCCCTGAACAGATCTGTTTCTGCTTTGCACCATCTCTGCATCCCACAGTCCAGGCCAAGCAACCACAGACACACAAACCAGGAGCTCAGGGATGCCCCATCCCACTGCCTCCCACTCACAACAGGCTCAAGCACAAGGAAAGAAAGGAGCAGCGCTGGGTACAGCAAAGGAGCTTTCCCAAGGTGAGCCCAGGTGGCACACCAGACAACATGTCACACATGGAGTGCAAAATCACATCTTATTTCTGGACTCCACGGCTGAACACTTTTTTTCAGGGAATGTTTACTGTTAGGAAAGTAAACGTGTGCAGGTGAAACCAATTGGAACTGACATGAAATCTGCAAGGGATGCTTGATTTTTCCCCAGAATCACAGCAGCAATGCTCACATCCTGCCCTTCTGCCACAGACAGGGGACAGCAGTGCCTCCCTCAGCTTCACACCCCACAAACTTTCCTCCCCAGTGCACAGCAGGATGGGCTCTTCACACAATCACAGCCTGGCTGAGGCTGGCAAGGATCTCTTGAGGTGTCTTGTCCAATCCCTTTGCTCAACCACAATCACCTAGAGCCGGCTGCCCAGCACCATCTCCAGATAACTTCAGAAATGGAGACCACCAGCTTCCTGGGCAATCTGTGCGACTGCTTGGTCACTGTCCCAGCAAAAACATTTTTTTYGATATTCAGAGGGAACTTCTTGTATTCCAGTTTGCGCCCACCACCCCTGTTCCTGTCACTGGATACCGCTGGAAAGAGCCTGGCTCTGTCCTCTTACATCTTTTCCCTTTGGGTATTTCTGTACATTKATGAGATCCCCTCTCAGTGCTCTCCAGCCTGAACTGTCCCAGCTCTCCCAGCCTTTTCTCATGAGAAATCCTCCAGTCCCTTCATCATTCTTGTGGTACTGCAGTGGCCTCTCTCCAGCGTCTCCACTTYCCACAGTGGGAAGCCAAGARCTGCACACGACGCTGCAGCTGTGGCCTCACCAGGGCTGAGCAGGGGCAGGGATCAGCTCCCCTGACCTGCTGGCAATGCTGTGCCTGGTGCAGCTCAGGATCCCATTGTCCTTTTTTGCTGCAAGGGCACACTGCTGGYTCGTGGCCACCTTGGTGCCCACCAGCCCCCCCAGCTGGGTGGTCTCTGTTTCCAGCTGGGTGGTCTCTGACATACATTGGTGCATGGGGCTGTTCCTCTGCAAGGGCAAGACATGGCATTTCCCCTTGCAGAGCTCATGAGGTTCCCTCCCCAAGCTGTGCTGCCAAGGCCCTTTCCCTGTGAGCAAAGCAAACATCAGGAGGACACAAGCTCCCCAAGACCCTGCTGGGATGGGGGAGCAACGTGTCCTTGAGGACGCTGCAGAGACAGAAGGGGCCGACTCACCTGCCCATCCTGCTGAAGGTGGTGATGCAGCATCTGGGAATGAGGCTGCTGATGTGCAGGGAGGATATGGAGAAACGGGGCTGGAGCATAACCTGGGGCAGCACCAGGGTTCAGGGGCCCAGTCGATCCRAGAGCAGAAGGCAGGCTGAAGGGAGGCGGAGTGCCAGCATGGAATCCCTGCTTGTCGAACGTCTGCACAGGGGGCAATGGGCACAGCGTCAGAGACTGGTGGGAGCAGCCCCAACCAGACCACAAGAGTGGCACAAACACATCACCTGAACCTTTCACCTACCCCACGAGGACGCCAAGTCACACTGAACACCTGCAAGCACACCAGAGGATGAGTTTCAGCTCTCGTTTTCACCCGTATTTCTGCACTAATGGCTCTTGACATTTTTATTTTCACAGCTATTGTGATTTTTTTTCCCCTGACCTCTTTTCATTCAAAGGGACATGGRATGGCAGCAACTGCCTGATCGGTCCTTCCCACACTGAGTGGGCTCAGCCTAGACTTTCTCAGCCTGTCTAGAGCAGCCAAAGAAAATCACAAGAAGTTGCAGCAATATTTTCCTGCTGCTGGCCAAAGCTTGATCCCTAAGCACATAACTGACAGCTGGCTTTGTACCTGTAAGCATGGATCGCAGCCAGACACCGATTTCCCCCGCTGAGGTTGCAGGGAGGAGCAAACAGGACTTGAACATAAGCCCAGTGCACAACACAGCTTGTCAAAGCACCTTCTGCTTTGTCTGGGAAGCTGCACTGAGCAATGGCCACAGGAGAGCATGGGACACGGACCCTCGACTGTTAGAGGTGGGCATTACTGCCTGGACCCTCTGAAARCAAACAGCTTCTCTAACTCACTTCCTTTGGGGGCTCTTTTGACTCAAAATGCTAACATGCTTGACTTCCCTTGCACCCAGGACACTGCTGGCATGGGGTGGTGTGGGCACAGGAAGAACTGAGCCTCTGCCAGCAGCTGCTGTCAGAGCTGACACAGCAGAAACAGTGGAACAGAGGCTGAGACTTCAACAGCAAACAGAGCCAGCGTTAGAAATGCAATGGCCTGCTGACCCTGAGACTGGCCAGCCTGGGAACAGGAATCATCAGCCTTGGGCCTTGAGGGAAGAGGGTCCAGCATTGCTCACCTGAGTCTTGTTATAGACTGAGCCACTGATATCAGGCACACCCGTGTTACTTGAGGTCACAGAAACACCTGGAAAACAAAAATGACACCAACAGTGAGAAYGTCAGGCCCCAGCCAGCATCATCCCAAGCTTTGCTCCTGGCACCTCTGGGAGCCTTAGGGGATGCACTGCCCTGCTGGTTCTCTGTGYTCTCAGACCCACAGCACCCAAATGGGAACAGAAGAAAGGGTTCAGCTTCTTGTCCCCACTGCAAAAGCCCACTGGGATAAATCACCCAGGTCCCCAACCCAGCTGTTAACACTTGGATTCCAATGCATTTCAGCAGACAGCAGCTGGTTGCACTGAACATTTATTGAAGCTCACAAAAAGCCAGCTTTCCCCTAGGGTCAGGGGTGCATTCGGCTCTACTGCAGCATTCAGGAGCTTTCCAGTAGTGCCCTGAGTGATGAGACTCAGATCTGCTACACATCTGAGCCCTTGTCCTTCCACATCCTGCACAAGAGTGAGGTCTGCAGTGCTCCCCTGCCCTGACAGAATCAGCATCACTGGCTCAGACTGGCTTCCACCCGGACTGGCTGGTGCCACAACAGGCTCAGAAACACTCACCACAATGGTGGCTCTCAAGCCACACTCGTTCAGGGTTTCAGAGAGGGGTGGCTCTGATCATTTCACTTGGATCAGAATAAAGCCAGCAGTTGCTTTGTTCAGTGAATCAGAGGACCGGACTCGGAGGGTGTGCAGTGCTCTAAGCTTGTAACCCTYCTTGGGGTCTATTCCTTTCTGGATTGCTTCTCCATCGAGCAGTGTGATGACCAAATGCASAGCAAATGCTTGGTACTTGCTTGAGCACAAGGATGAACCAGTTAGTGCTAAGCAGCCCAGCATACACTTCTGAAATCAAACCTGCATGTGCCGAATAAAGCTTTTGTATAAGCTGCAGAAATTCTTCAGCTTTTATGGTCAAGAAGGAAACATCTCCAGGCATGACATAAGGCTATGAGTTACAGGGTGTACAAGCGTCAGCTAGACAGCCCAGAGAGGTGTGAGGTGCCCTGCTCCTCTCTAACACACAGCTCTCTAGGTGCCTACTTAATTTAAATTTTAAATCTAGCCATGATTTGGCAGAGGAGAAATTTAAAATCTAGCCATTATTTGGCAGAGGATCATTTTGCAACAGCACTTAACTGCTAGGGTTTCAGAAAAACAGCACTGTTGAAGGAACACTATGCTCTTCAGCAAAGAAAGCTTTGGCTTCATAAACAGCTTACCATTTCTCCCATGWGTAATTGAACCAAGCTGTGCATCAGCCACACAAATCCTTACGCAAAGTTCAGCCATGACAACTGGGCCATTAGAAAAGCATTTTGTATACGGGAGACGGAGAAACAGCTTGGATCGTGACCCTGTTTAGAGCTGATTGTTGCATTGACTGCACGACACTGGGTGTTTGCCCTACTAAATCCCACTCCAGAGCAACCTCCAGGCTCATTGTGTTACCTTTCCCAGGTCCAGAGCCAGCAGATTTGTTTTGTGCTTGAGATGACCCACTGTAGCCTCCTTTGCTGTAATCTCCAGCTGCCGTTCCCTGCGTTAAGTCATCGTAGCCTGCGGTGTGCACAAGACACGGCATTAGGGTTTGCGGGCGGTGCCACGGCGCTCACCGGGACACAGGGGCCGAGGGCTTACCTGCACCGTAGCTGTGCTGGTTGTAGCCACTCGCCTGCTGGAAGGGAGTCGACGCCGTGTTCAGGTTGACTCCATGCTGTTTAGCAGATGCTGGAGGTACCTGGACAAAGGACAGGAACAAAAGGCGCTGTTAGGTGGGGAACGCAGGCTCCCTCTGCCACCTAGTGGGGAAGGCACCTTCCACCGCATGAAGGGAATCCTGTCTGGAGCCGGGAGGATTGGGATTTCATGGGACAGCTTACAGCAGAAACTCGCTAGAGTGGATCTGTGCCCCAGGATTTCTCCTAGAGCTGTCCCAGTGATTGCAGTGCAGCCCTCCCTCAGAACAGGCGGCGTATTTCTTTCATATGTTGAATCTAAGCAGCAAATTTTTGCTCATAAAACAGTAGAACCACAGAATCAAAGTAAACATCAGTTCCTGCCTAAGCCTGTTCATAAAATACTGTCCTGCAGGGCCCTAAATAGCCTCATCTACTCTTCTGCCTGGAGCAGCACCTCTTCCCAAACAACCTTCTTCTTCCTCAGACTTCCAGCCCTGCTCTCTGACTTTATGGAGTCTCCTCCATCCAGGATCTCCACTCACTGGCTCAACTTTGGGTCTCCTCTTGACCCTCCAGAGATTAGGAGGGGCTTTCAGGAACATCAGACCCACAAGCTGTAGCTGTCAGCTCTTTACAGAAATGTGCACAAGGGTCCATGAGTTCTGGCCTTTTAATTTTTGTGCGCTCTTCTGACTGGGACTGCAGCTCTTTTCTCATGTTGCATGTTTTTGGAGATCTCCTGCAGAATGGGGAAGCTGACTCTATTCCATTCTAATGAAATTCCACCTAAATCTGACTCCAGCTCTGAGATCCTCAGTATGAGGAAGCTGTGGACCTGCTGGAGCAGATCCAATGGAGACTATGAAGATGATCATAGTGATGAGCACCTCTCCTATGAGGATAGGCTGAGTGTTGGGGCTGTTGAGCTTGGAGAAAAGAAGGCTCTGGGYAGACCTTCCTGTGACCTTAAAGAACGCTTATAGGAAAGATGGGAAAMACATTTTACCAGGCCCTGTAGTGACAGAACAAAGAGCAGTGTTTTTAAACTGAAAGATGGCAGATTTAGATTAGATACAAAGAAAATAGTCTGTGAGGTTGGTGTGGCACTGCCAGAGGTTGCCCAGAGAAGGTGTGGATGGCCCACCCCTGGAAGCATACAGGGTCAGGCTGGATGGGGCTCTGAGCAATCTGGTCTAATGGCAGGTGTCCCTGCCCATGGCAGAGAGATTGGAATGAGATGGTCTTTGATGATCCCTTCCAACACAAACTTCCCTGTAATTCCAAGATGTAGAGTGTTTGGGCTGGAGAAAGCAAAACCCGAGAGGCACACTTGGAAGGGTCACAGTTTAGGATGCCACACTTACAAACATGGTTGGCCCATACTGGAATGCACTGGGAACACCGGGCATTCCAGCGTAGTAAGGGAGCCCAGTGTAGCTGTACCCTGGGGGCAGGGTYGGGTTGAGGAAGGGCTGCTGGGTGGTGTGATGAGTCTGTGTCTGGTTCTGCTGTGGCTGGGCCAGCGTGGTCGCAGGAGCAGGAGAGGCAGAGTCTCCACGGCCAAATTTTGTTACATCACCTGTGAAATAAAGAGCTTATCAGGAATGCTATCAAAGATACTGCAAAGGTGGAGAATTCAGTGGGTTTAAATTCTCTGAATACAAGCAGACAGCTACAGAAGAGGACACATTCTACACCTGAAAGCCTGCAGTTGTTGATGGGAAGCCCTCACCCAGTCTCTGTTCCTGACAGCCACAGGGATATTGCCTGTTGGTGGCACAGAACTCTGTGCTATGGGCTGGTTGCTAATCCATTGATAAACAGAGATGCCAATACTCACCTATCTCACACGGTCTGAGCAGACTCATTACTATTAGATCATTGCAATAAAACATGCTAAAGCAGAAGCATGGTAAATAGCAAGAGAGCCAATGGTTGTTGGGTTAAAGTGTGACTCTCCTGGAGGTTAACCTGTTTAGCTAAGCTTCATGGGCTGAAAGCAGGTTAGGATTTACAGGCAGTGAATGGGCATATTTTTGTCAATGTGTGTTTATTTGTCAAGCATGACTAGTTAGGATGTCCAGTTCCTCACACCACCAAAGTTCTGAAGACAGTAGCTGAAGGCCAGGAAAGCAAGGCTTGCATCGTGGGCCACCTTATTGAAGAAGCAGGAAGGGAAATTCAGTTATTAACCCAAAAACAGCCTCCCAAGAGAAGTGATCATGAAGCAGAAAATTCACAAACACTGGTATTTTCTGGCAGCCTACAGAGCACCATGTTCACATGTTTTTTAAGGAGGTGACATACATCAATCCTTTCTATCTCATTCCAAGCCAGTATTCCATTTTGTTGGTTATCAGGAAGTATGACAGCACTTAATACCATCATTATAGGAACTACAAAGCCTGTGGCTACAGTTTTAAGCTGTAATCAGATGGCAGTGGATGAAAACCACTGGCTGAAAATCCTGGATGGAATTAATATCGTCTTTGCACAGTGACAGCTAAAGAGCAATAGTAGGAATGAGGAAGGGTGTCTTTGATCACAGAAAGGAAAAGCAATTCCTCTTTGAACAAGAGGCAGGAAGACCTGCACTGAGAAACCAGCACATCTCACCTGTCATCCTTGTCCTTAAACAGCACTCACCTGAGTATGGGTTGTTAGCAAGGCTCCCATCTCTGCCTGTCAAGGTTGCTGGAGCAGGGAATGTAATTCCGTAGTAATCCTTGGAAAGAGACAACATAATTTATTAACAGTTGAAACTGTAACACAGCKGGACAACTCTTAAGAACTGCACACTATACACAGACGAAAACTTTAAAAGCAGGAACTAAAGGAGGTTTGGGTGGAAGCTGACCTTATGTCATGGAGCAGAACTGAAAATTTACCTGAATCCTCAAGCTAAAAATAAACCTAGTTTATATAGACACTTTCCATATTATATACAAATATTTAATCTCTTAATAGTAAGTTAAAGACAATGACTAAGTGGTTTTCCTCACAGCTCCCAGCTCTGAGCTCATTTTCCAGGGAGACTGCCTGAGAACTGACTATTGTGGGTCAAAGGCATGGGGTCAGGCCAGGACTGTAATCACAACATGGATGTAACTCTAAGGGTTTTGCTCTTGTACCATGCCCTGTTTTCTACAAGTGGAAATGTCAGCTTGGAAAACAGCAAAAAACATTAAAAGAGAGAAAAATAGTTACTATTGGATCACTGGAAAATTTATTTAAACTACTTTAGAGAAGACCTGAGATCAGCAGTCTCTGAAGTGGGACATACATCACAATCCATTGAGGTAGGATTGTGGGGCAGGAAGAAAATGGATTTGGTACCTTTGTTAAATACAACTTAGAAAATTTTTAAATAGTATTTGYTTAACCTTTCTCTTCTTTTTCTCAGTTTTATTTTTGCGTATATTTTATAACATATATATTAGTACAGGGATATATGTATATAATTCAGAAAAAAAGTATTGAAGGTGAGTGCTCACACGTTTTCTACTGATGGGATGCATGATAAAAATGGTGGAAACCACTGCCTTAGATTATTCTTCTAGATACTCCAAAAAAGGTAAGCACTACTAGAARGCTTGCACTCTGAAATGACAAGGACATGCTAGCAAAACGGAAGCAGTATTTTGACTTCAGTTTGGGAGAAAAGGCAGGATGTTTGCCCTTCTGCCTCCAGGTGAACTCTGCCTGTGGGTCTGGTTYTCTATTTCTGTCCTCCTAATTTTCATATTCTACTCCTTACCACCCTCAATTCAGAAAGAGATAATGTTTTAAGCAGTAAAGCATCCATTTCCACACATTCTCAAACACTAGAAAAGTCTCTTGCTATGTCATACCCCTCTCTGCAAATGCCAGAACACCTCAAATGTTTTCTCAGAGCTGACAGCACTCTCCACCTTGTTCCACCTCCGTGCATCACTTCCCTGTCTCCTACACTCAATCCTCCATCACTGAATGTGAAACCATGTGGCAAAGTTTTAGTATTGCAGGTGCTTTCTGTAACTTGCAATGATGCTTTTATTTCATCAACCTTTCCTTCCCTGGTAACTCCCCCTTATGAACTCCAGCATGAATCACTTGGCAAAACACAACTAAACTCACATTAAAAGTCTTAGCAGGTTAAAGCAGCAGTCCCATACATTTCTGATGAAAATGCCAACAGAAAAAGATTTAGAGAAGAGATGTGAACGCAATTCAGCGTGTATGAACTGACACACTAACATCTTCCCCCTATACACACTGGACAAAATGCAATGAAATCTGTGTGAGAAGAGGGTGTAAGGGCTGCAATTATTCTCACTGCACCTCAGTTAGGGGAAAGCCACATCAGTGCTGAATAGTTTTGTCCTACATGTGCATACACATATTCAAACTAAAAACTCGTTAGAAAATACGAGTGCAAGGTGGTTGGTTATGTCTTCAGTTCATGCCTGCCTGAAGGAAAATATCAGAGAAGGCACTCTGCTCTTCACACATCACAGATATCTCTTGACCTACAAAGGGAGAAGCTGCCTAAAGCCAAAASTGAAATACCAGAAATAGGCTCAAAAAGTGAGGCAAAAAAGGATGAAACAAAGTGTGATGATGAAATATAAGTCATGGAGCAGGTTGCTGAGTACTACACCAGCGGAGGCACTCGTAAGATCTTTGCAACAGAGGAGACAGCATACCCCAATGTAACACACACCAGAAGAATCCAGACAACAAAAAAACCCACAGTGAGAATTTACAATAAAAATATGCAGAGTACTTAATTGGGTTAAATTTTAAAAAGAACCTCAGGAGAAAATCCCAGTCTTGCCTTATCAGCAGTCATCAGAATGTTTTACTGCTAGAAATCACACAGGAAGCAGTGACAACTTTCACTTGGAACTTTGCCCACTTTCACTTTTCCCATGTAAGTAGACTGGCACGTGAAATACAAATATTCCCACCTATTCCTGCCCCCCGACCATCTCATACTGCCACATTTTCACAAAAAAATTCTCAACACAATTAAAAAAMCCCCAAATCTAAAAACTATAAACACTGCATGAATAGTGATGAAAAATCCATTRTGACATCTGTATATTTATTTCTGACTACCAGTATATCATGGGTAGTTAACTCTGGATGCAGGGGAGATGGCCCCAAAAAATWCTGCAATATGTTTGCAAGAGACAGAAAAAATCCCTGCACTAACAAAGCTGCAGATGCCATAGAACAAATAAAAAAATATTAAAATATATTTAAAAATATAAACAGAATTTTAAAGAGACTGAGAGATTAACAATATTAATAAGAAACATACAAAATAAGAACTATATACAAATAATATTAGTGCCTGAAATAAGAAAAATGAGGTACTGGTAAGTAGAGAAATTTTAAAATAAAATCCCCCAAAAAGCAACACACAAAACAGATGAAAAGACAATCCTGAAACATCCTCAGCACAGCCACCCAGAAAACAACTTCTGTTACACTTTGATCTCCTGTAATAGCATAGTAGGAGGCTCCCCTGGCAGCAGCCCTGAGAAAGAGTCAACTCCTGTTCTCATAGCAGGGCCCCCTCCTGGTCAGTGCCAWGCACAACCAAAACCCTCAAGACAAAGCAAATGAGAAAACAAAAAGTGAAAACGGAAAAAGAAAAATTATGTCTAAAAAGACAGGGATGGTAATGATGATGATGAAAAGAAAGCATGGGCACATAAAGCTGCCCACCAGCAGCACCCCATGCACAGCAACCACCACCACCGAGCCAGACCAGGCTCCTGCAGCACCCACAGCTCCACCATGGCCAGACCTGGATGCCCACAGCCCTGCCTGCGGCACAGCAACCTGGCACTGCTGCTCCTCGCCACGGCTCTGGCCACCGGCCTCCCGTGCCATCACCTGCCGACCCACGACCCTGGGAATGCACTCCAGCTTCTCCAGAACATGGCTTCGAGTACAACAGAGCCCTGCCACCTGCGAGATGCACCTTTCTTCCCCGACACCCTCCGCCGCAACAACCTCCACCCGCAACAAGCCGCCGCCGCCGCCYTASGCATCCTCCAGGGCCTCTTCCAGACCCTCAACGACAWCAGCACCCGCCACCACTGGCACACCCAGCCTCGCAACGACCTCCTCAACCAACTCCAGCACCACATCCACCACCTCGAGCCATGCCTCCGCAATAGCACCACGCTCTTCAAGGGACCCCGCAACACGCTGCTCACCATCAACAAGTACTTCAGGGACATCCAACGCTTYCTCCAAGCCCACAACCACAGCGCCTGCGCCTGGGACCACGTCCGTATGGAAGCTCTTGAGTGCTTCAAACATGTGGACAGACTCATACGGCAAATGAAGCACCAGGCTGCTCTGGACCCCACTAAACCCACGGATACCAAACTCCCATCCCCAGCCAGCATGAGAGGTCACAGATTGAGCGGTGACAGCAGCTCGCCCAGTACCGCTCACGCCTCTCCCAGTCAGAATCATGAGCTGATGGGGAAATGGGTATGACTGTGGTGAGACAGGGGCCAGGCTGTGGCACAGCCCACATACCCAAACCATAGCCACTGGAGAGGAGGGAAGAGGAAATCTCTGCGCTGCACACAGCTGCGAGGCATTGGGGATAGGSGTGGTACATACTACCTGTGAAATAATCGCTCTCATCCAGACTGCAACTTCACCTGATGAACAGCAAGGGGATCATGGACGCTGGGGGGGGGGGGATACTGTGGGACTCGCACGCCAATCACTGTTTATCACAAAACTCTGTTTACTTATTTAATTGATTAATTGACGTAYTTGTTTATTTATTTATTTGGCTAGCCATTTATTTATTTATTTATTCTTTTGTTAGAAATAAAGACTTTTTGTAAAAACAAAAAATGAAAAAGCAAAGCTGTGGTCATTGCGCTTCAAGCTTATACCTGACAGGCAAAGACATGGTCCCTGCAGGGAGGCAGGGATCAATCTCCCCTCTGCAGCCTGTATTGCCAGTACCTGCTGCCTGGATCGAAGACTATGGACAGGAGACCTCTCTCAGGGACCCACCCTGGTCCTGTAGCCCACAGGCATCTCTTAGAATTAGTTGCCAGACCCCTTTGGGGCACCCATTTACCCAGATGGCATCATGCCTGCCCTGCACACTTCCCTCTCTCCCACCACCACAYTTTCCCTTCCAGACCATCCAGTAACGGTCAAGAGATGAAAGCCACCTCCAAACCATCATCCCACCACAAACAACCATCATGCAACGCCGCAGCACTGCTTCGGAACAAKCAGGGTGGCATAGACAAAGTGCACCTCAAAGAATCAAGGAGAAGACCCACCAAAGTCTGCAGAGATTTGACCAAGGCAAAGAAGCCCAGTGCTACCAGCTCCAGCCAAAAAACCCTAAAAAGACACAAAACCCACAGGAGATGCTGAGAACTGCTCACTGCTCTGCAAAGGCCACCACAACCGGTCCAGGATGCTCCTGCCTGTGCTTACACACTGGTGCCATGGGGACCTGCTGCAGTACACAGAGCACATTGCCCTTGTCCTTCTTCATCCCAACACCTTATTAGCAAGCAAAGAGATCCATCACCCAAATACCACTACCCAACATGGTCCAATCCAACCACCACAGCATTTGCCATGAAGGAAACTGCCCATGAACAACCAGCACCAGCTGCTCCTTCACCCTCCAACCACCACCCCAAAAGTATCTGCCCCAGGTCAGTAGCTCTGGCCTCCTCCTGCATGGAACAAAGTGTTTTCCTGTGCTCAAAAGACCTCCATTACTGTATCACTGCAAGGACACTGCTTTGTGCAAACACAGATGATCACTCCCCACTTACCTGGAGGATGAGAAAACAAGAGGCACCGAATACAGAATCATAAAATCATTAAGGCTGGAAAAGACCAAATTCCACTAAGCCAGATCACAAAGTGCCACATCTACTCTTTAACACTTTCAGGGATGGTGGCTCCACCACGTCCCTGGGGAGCCTGGTTTCAATGCTTGACCACTCCTTCAGTGAGTAAATTTTACCTAATGTCCAAACTGAACCTTCTCTGGCACAACTTGAGGCCATTTTCCTTTTGTATTGCTAGCAGCCTGGGAGAAAAGGCACCAATCCCCACATGGTTATAATCTTTTGTTAGGTCATTGTAGAGAGCGATAGGGTTCCCCCAGGCCTCCTTTTCCCCAGACTAAACCCCCTGAGTTCCCTCCACTTCTCCTCATGTGATTCACTCACTCTACACACTATCCCAGCTCCATCCCTTTCTCTGGATATGCTACAGCACCTCACTATCYTTCTTGCTGTGAGTGAACAAAACCAAGCACAAATTCAAGGTGTGGCCTCTCCAGTGCCCAGCACAGGGCGATGGTCACTGCCCTGGTCCTCCTGGCCACGCTGTTGCTCACACAAGCCCAGTGCCTTTGGCTTCTTGGACATCTGGTYACACTCCAGCTCATGTTCAGCCACTGAAAACCAACACCTSCAGRTCCTTTCCCACTGGGCCATTGTATCCCAGCCTGGAGCTGCAGGGGTTGTAGTGACCCTGCAGCAGGACCCAGCACCTGCCTGGTTGAACCTCACCCCATTGGCCTCAGCCCATGGATGCAGCCTGTYCAGATCCCTCTGCAGAGCCTCCCTGCCCTCCAGCACATCAACACTGCCACACAGCTTGGTGCTGTCCTCACACTGACTGAGRSTGCTCTCAGTTCCCTCATTTAGACCATTGATAAAGATATCACAAGGACTGGGACCAATACTGATCTCTGGGGGACACCACTAGTGACCATCTGCCTGCTGGAAGTAATTCCATTTACCAGCACTGTCTGGGCCAGGCCATCACAACTCAGGGAACAGAGGAACAGGACACCTAAGTGACAAGCAGTTGTATCTCCAGGAGAATTCTATGGGATGCAGTGTCAAAGACTTTTCTGAAGTCCAGGAAGTCAACATCCCCAGCCTTTCCCTCATCCTCTAACAGGGTGACCTTGTTACAGATGGAGATGGGGTCAGGCTGTTACGCCTTTCACAAACCCGTTCTGGCTGGGCCTGACCCCCTGGATCTCCTGTGTGTGCCATGTGATGGCACTCAAGAAGAGAGCTCTCCATAAGCTTCCCCAGCACTGAGGTCAGGCTGACAGGCCTGCAGCTCCCCAGACTCTACTTTGAACCCTTCCTGAAGATAAACATTACACTGGCCACCCTTCAGTTGCCTGAACTTCCTTGGTTACCCAGGACTGCAGGGAAATGATGGGAAGTTGCTTAGCAAGCTCTYCTACCAGGTCTCTTACCTATTCAGGTACACAGTTTCTAGATGAAACTTGCACTTTGTACCACTGTCCTCCTGATGCTCCTAACCAGAAATAATACCCTGTGATGTCAGGAATGGGGACCTCATTGGTTCTGTCTTCTCTGAGGTGGCTGAAGAAACTAAACCATTCTCAGACAAAAACAGGAGTGGTGGTAAAACACAAGCTTGAAAACAGGGAATTTAAACATGAAAGAATTAACAGACTTGTATGATTTTTTAATGTGAAAATGATACAACACCAGAATAGGGATTAGAGAGGCTGAGTGATATCCATTCCTGGAGACACTTCTAAAAGCACCACTGGACAAAGACATGAGCAGCCTCTTCTGATACGACCACCTCTCAGGTTATACAAGGCAAAACAGACAATTAAAATATATTTTTAAAAACTCCTTTATTGTTCAAAAATAACAGCTTAGAGGACACATCTTAAAGCCCATCACAATGGAAGCCATACTGTGAAAGGGAAGCAAGAGACTGCAAAAGCTTCCTCAATAAACACTCAATGCTCAGAGCCTCTTCGTCAGAGACCATCTGTACCTAATGAGAAATAAATCACTTAAAACTATTTCAAATTCTAAAATGAAACAATGTACTCATATGAATACAAAACCAAGACGCATATGGTAAACTAAAAACAAAAAAACAATTAATGGAGGATTACAAAAGGACCTGGGGAGTGTCCCACGTGGAATGGAAGTGTTGAACATTTATCAGGGAAGGTCTCCCATTGAGGTTCAGAAGGGACCCCCTTGCTTACTAAACTCCTTCTCAGAGAAGCCTGGGTGCAGTTTAATGCAATCATAGTCCAGATTTGGTAAACGGCTCTTCTCTAAAGAATTATGTATGTGCAACTGAGCCTTTATATGACTGTCCTGAAGCATCATGGACATATATAATTATATAGGAAATATTTGTATGGTATAAGCAAATCATTAAAATGTAGTATGCCAGTAATTAAAGAACTTTAATTAGAATTATCTATTACATGTCTCAGATAGTTGTAACTACTTGTACGRTGCACTACTAAACCAACCCTTTCAAAGCCAGCTTCATAAAGACCTAGAGAATAATGTCATAAACCAATGACTGTGGGCAAGTACTTTTGTTCAGCTTCAAGGAATAACCACACAATGGAGGAATCTCCATGCACACTAATAGAAGGGGTGTGCTGGAAATCCCTGGAGTTAACGTGCACAACTGAAATTTTCAGAATAAAAAAACTAATTCCAATGCATTATAAGGTAGGACAGCTCAATCAACTCAGAAACCTCTCAGCAATTGAAAACCTACTTATCAGTAACCTACCAGTACCACCACTTCCTTCTTTCTAGAACTCCACCAGTGCAATTCTCAGCAAAGAAACACTACTTCAAAAATAAACAGAACACTCAACCCTGGAGGAGTTCACTGCAGCTGATTTTAGCATTCTTTAACATCAAAAASTTGGTCACTTTCCCTGTCCACCATCACAAATAAGGTTAGGAAAAAGGGTAAAGCCCGAGATACTACACGACATCTGAAGCAGAGTGTCCTACGATACGGAAGAAGGGAAATTCAGTGAAACAGAGGAAGGGAGACACCCACACACAGAAAGGAAAAACCACAAAAAACCCACAACATCACCCAAAAAGAACAATGTGTCGCTAACTGGGCATTTCATCCCAAAACCGTGCCACAATAGAAAACACACGAGCAACAACATTTCCACAGAAAAAAAAACAACCACCAACATCATCCCCTACAAGAGACACCCCAAAAAACCATTGCCCTGAGACCACCACAGCCAAAACAACAAATTGGAAACCACAGAGGAAATGCCCAGCAATCAGAAACTGATGAAYGGAAAGCTGCCGCCATACAAAGCYRCACCAGCCGGCAGCASCCCGAGCACAGCCGCCACCACCAAGCCTCAGCAGGCTCCTGCCCAGCACCACCCGACGGCACCCACTCACCCACCATGCCTGCGCCCACAGCCCCACGGCCACGCCTGCCGCACGCCGCCCCGCCGCTCCTGCTTCTCCTCACGGCTCTGGCCACCGCMCTCGCMTGCCAACACCTCTGGACCCCCGACGACACCTTCCCCGCCGACGCGCTCCGCCTCCTCCGCGACATGGCTCCCAGCCACGCACAGCCCTGCCACCTGCAACAGCCGCCCTTCTTCCCCGACGCCCTCCGCCACAACAACCTCCAC